ATTTTTATCTTCTAAGAGAGTACAGCTTCTTGTGACTTCGGAGTTGAAAAAGGAATTGTGTTAGAAAACTTAAAGTTGGAAAAGTCATGCTCTCTATAGGCTGCAGCTGTTAGAATGAGGTTATCCTTTGCAGGCAGTCTCATTACTCTGGGCCAAATTCAGAAATACTCTAACCTGTTTAAATTTGCTAATAGTCAAGAAAATACTCTTTAATTTTATCCAGGAGGGGATACATACTTATATGAACTGAGGGTTCAGCCCATCATGCTTTCTCATGTGTCTATAATCTGAGCATATGCTTCTAGACTGTTGCTCTTGAATTAGAAATTCAGGCATGGGTAATTTTAGGTTGTTCTTTCTTGTGCTTAATTTTAAAGAAATGGAAGTTCTTTTTGCTTAAGCACTATGCTGTGGTGTGGAGATAGGAATTGAAATTCCAGTATCTAGAATAAACTTTTAGGTGACACTAATGCAAGGATTATTTGCTCTTAAAGGGTATCTTCTTGTCTTTCAGTCTGGCTGCTTAGTTTTTGTATGAAGATAAGACTTTGGAGTAGAGAATATATTTATTTACACTGGTACCATGTGTGGTATGTTCTATTGTGCAGTTATGGAAACTGCATTCTGACTACTTTTAATTGTTACTGTATATATATTTTGTCAATAATACAGGAACTGTTTCTGTTTAAGCAATATGTATATTTATATATTTTGAATGTAGAGAACAGCATGACTTGCCTTTTGCCCATTTTCGTTCTTTGAATTTTTTCTGAGGAAGCAAAATATAAATACACAATAGCCTGGTATGCAAAGGGAAGTATACTAGCAAAGTGGAAGGAAAGACATTCAGAAACATGCCTTCCTTTAGTAGAAAGCCATTCTTCCCAGTATTGTACTAGACAGCCTTCGTCTGAACAAAGCCACTTCCATAGTATTTGTAATTCCTGCATATAAATTGTAACTTCCTGGGATATTCTTTAAAAGACATTTTAAACATTATCTGTTATATTGTGACATTTAATGTCTTCTGTGGTCATGTGGAAAGTCTGTGATAAAGTGAGGAATGAGTGCAGCAAACCACCTGACTCCCAGTCCTCCTTCTGTCCCCCATTGCTTTGAATTGGCTTTCTTTACTTTGCCAGCGTACCATTACTGACTATGAACAATCATCTCATCAGGTTGCAACTGTGTTATTACAGTTCAACATACTCATTCCTATCTTTCTTTAAGGTCACTAAAATGAGATACTTAAAAGGCACTGTCTTGTTTGAAGTATTGAGATAATAAAAAAACACAGCAAAAATTTTAATATGTGCCAAGCCAGCCTCAGCTCCTGAATATGCAGCATTTCTATATCCTCCTGCAGCTCTCCAGCTGAAGTCCATGTTTTACCAAATTATTACTGAATTTCTTATCCAGAAAGGGTAATTCCTCAGCTCCCGCTTTCCTGTTTTGGTCTAGTGCGTATACAATGAGGCCCTAAGATGCATCAAGTCTACATGCCTTTCTTCTCTCCTCATTATGGATCCTAATGTATGTAAATCCATTGGAAGCCATTTAAGTGATAGGCTTACGTGGCCATCCGCATGAATGAAGAAATTACACATGGTGTATAGGTAGCTGTCAGTTCTGCAAGTGTTGAAAACCTCTCTTCTCCTGTGTTTAGTCTGTTAATTTTGTGTTAATTGAATTCCTGTCTTATTCTAGTCCTTGTCAGCTGGGTCAAGAACTTTGCTTTCTCCGTGTTGGAGTTAGCTTATATTGAATTTGAGAAGTAACTTCTAAATGGTCCTTATAATAGATAGCAGAGACCGTGAGGACAAGCAGTCAAATTCTTGATTAGCTGTTTTGCCAGAGAAGAATGAGTCAAAAACTATGGATGTCTTCCCAGGCAAGAATTCAGTGATGTTTCAGAGAGTTTTTTTTTTAAAGCTGTTTTCCCTGATAGTAATAAGTAAAACACCTTTTAAGCAGACAGAATACCCTCTTAAAATGAAATATGATGCTTCAGGGTGGTGGTAGAAGAACGTACTATTTCTGGTTCAAGTTGCATTTAAAAGATCATGGCTGTTAAAGCTCTTTTGTTAGTAGAATGAATCAGTATTGACTGCCTGTGTTATGTTGCGGGTCATTAACTTGTCAGTTAATTGGAAAGCTTGTGAGGGGCTTCTCCATGATGGTGTTTTGTGGTAGAAGAAAACAACCTGAGAATAAACTTAGTTAAAAGGTGGTCATAGCTGGTAACTGTGGTTGGTTCATACATGGTTTTGATTGCTTTGTGCGAATTATATGATGGGCTAACCTGTAAAGGGATAGGGGATTCCCACAGTATCACTCTGAAGGCAAACAAGGATTCAAAACAGGATCCTACTGTGGAATTCATATCATAAATAATGCAAATACACTTGTAAGAGTCTGCATGAATGCTTCAACTGTAACAAAGGATTCTTCAGATTCAAGTCTGTGGTTAATGTAGCTATTGCTAGCTTGAGTCAAAATGATGATTTACTAATTATATTCTTTATTGATATGCGTCAGATTAATATGAAATTCTCTTAAAGCTCTAGTTCTGCTGTCATTGTAATAGCAGTGTGTGATTTCCTTATTTATTTTAGTGATTTGAAAGATGCACATAAAAAAGTAATCTGGGTATAAAGAGTCTGTTTCTTTCTGCTCGGTACCTGGATGTGAAAATCCTCATGGGCTTGTGCATCCTTGTTAGCAATGTAGACTTTACAACTGGGTCTTAGTTTGTAATATTCTTTTGAATGTATGGTTTAAAAAGAAGTTAAAAATTCATCTCTCTTCCTGTTATCTGTGTGAGTTCTGCAGAGGAGTGAAACATTGTATGAACCGGGGTGACTTTCTGTGAATAAAAGTAAGCAGATAAGAGGAAAGGCGCATGGAAGACATTTGTTAAATAGGGGTGCCATCTTTATACTATTGTTCTTCTGGCTATAACTGCACTTTACATTTTATTATGGCCTGGGTCTCTAGAGTTGAATTTTACAAGGCATTTTCAGAACAATTGAATCAGTCGCCCATTATTCATACAATTACACACTAGCCTTGCTGCTCCTTGTTGACATCTGTGCACAAGGCCCAGCTCTTTTTCACATAACTTGACCAGCTCAGACACTGACTGTGGGAGATGCTGAAAGTCACTGAGAGCTCCAGAGAAAAGAAATGGCTGAATAGTTCATTCCCTCTGGCATGCCCAGAGGCAAGCAGGAAGTTGATAATGGCATCATTACACATGTGATATTTTGTGGTTTGCCTATATATTGCTATAGAAAGAGAGAAACTGGAGACTGCTATGTGGGAAATGTTGTTAAACCACTTTTACATAGCTAGCCAGCTGCATTTCTGTTTGTTGCCTTACACAGGCATTGACTTATACTGTTATGAGCTATTTCTGAGGGGACTGCCTCATCTGGAGCTGGAGGGACCCCTGCATGCTGTGGTGGTAATGAGGTGACTGGCCTTGCTGGCTGTATATTGAAAAGGTGTGTGCTACATGAAGTAGGGTATTAGGGAAAGTGATACAAATAGCTGTCTCATTAATGGGATTAAATGATATGCTAGATAGCTGATTTCTGCCTCTGAGGCTGTCTCCTGTGTGCCAGCCTTTCTGTAGGCGGTCAGTAACTGAGCACAAGTCCAACTTTGTGTGCTTGGCTTTCAGACTGAACACAAATTCTGACTCTTTAAACAAGACTCAGTATATGCTATGCTTGGAAAATATGAAGAAGTAAGATTTCAAAAGAAAACTGAAATGCATAGAGGTAGGCAGCAGGGATAGTGTGCATGTCGAAATGGGCATTCAGTCTTAACTTTCTGAATAACAGTGACTTGTGTTTCTTTCACCTGTAAAATGAATACAATAATGCCTTTTCTTGAGGGAGTATCTTTGAAGTAAACCCTGTGATGTTTCTGAAATGTTTGGATACTTCAGTGCTGAACACTAAAGAAAAGCTCAGAAATAAATTAATAGTTCTTTCTTTGGCAAGAATATTAGCAGTAGACTGTGAAAGAAGTACAATTTTTATAACGCAGCTAAAAAGAAGAATTGTAATGCTGCTGTGGGGAGTGCTGTCATGTACATTGAATTGAGGTGTCTGACAGAAAACCAAATAGTGTGTGATAACGTAATTGAACACTGTATGAAAGACTGCCTGCTGAGTAGGAGGGAGGGAAGTATTAAAGTTGAAAAAGTAATCTCTATACTAACCCCCAATGTTTGACTTGACTTGGATTATTTTTTTTTCCAAGTTAAAAATGTAACTTGTGAATTTACTTACAAGCACAAAAGATAAATATTTATGTTAGGTTCGGTAATATCAAAGTAATAAACCTATTTGGTTTTATATGTGAAAAAAACCTTTGAATTTCTTCGTATAAGCATGAACAGTGCTTCAATTTCTGCTCGCTGTTGTATCAATTTGATACAAGTATTTTGTAGGTTTTTATGAAATTAAACCGAGTAATGATATTTCATATAAAATTACTGTTAGAACAAGTGACTGTAGTTGAACTTTCCCTAGCAGGGTTGGAAACTGGGTTATAAGAGAACAGTTAACTGCAAACTCCTTATGTCAGAAATGCCTTTATATTAGGTGTTTGGATGGTAGCCTAGCAAAGCATCAGTCCTGGACACTGCTGGGAACTCCTAAGATACTGGGGTTACACAAGAAATCATAATAGTGGTTCAAATGATAAGTAAAATGCATATACACTCAATAAGGAACTGTAAAGCTAGTGTATGAACTGTTTTGCAAACAAACAGAATTAAGTGGGTAGAAATTGGGTGGACAAAATTTTGGTTAGTCATTAGCAACACTAAAACCAAATGTACAGATTTTATCTTGGTTTTGGCTCTTTTGTGATAGTGAGAGTCATTTTAAAGCCTCTGTGCTTCCATATGAAAATGTGTCTTGTGTAGCAGTCTGTGATCAGCAGAGAAAGTCAACTTCACTTTATTTTATTTTAATCCCTTCTAGCCTTCAGGAAAAAGAGCAATCGTTCACCATGTCCATTAAAGAAACTACTGCCAAAGTAAGTACACATCAGTGTTCAGTTCTTCAAAATATTTTGAGAAGCAGATAATAGCTTGCATCTTAATAAATGGTCTGTGTTTTAGAACGCTGGTTTTGTGGCACTTCTTCTAAACAGATTCTGCATATAAACATTTTTAAACATACACTGCAAAAAAAAAAACCCAGCTTTTATATTTAGACAGGCCACAGAGATTACGTTTAAGAAGCAGGTGGAGTAATTTGTTGGTTTTTGGTTTATGTTTGCTAGTCTCTATTTAGGAAAAGTTAGGAAAAGAATCCTCAGCTTCATGAAATGAAAGTGAACTCTGGTCACAACTTAATGCTTTCACTCTTCATATAGAGCCTCTTACTTTCCTAGCTGACTGGTTTCATTGATGTAAAAGAAAAGCATAAATGAAGCACCTATCTTTCCCACCACACTAATACTAAACTAGCAATCTCATTCTTATTCCCCTTTAAAAATATAAAGAAAAGTGATATGGAATATTTAGCGTATCTTTTGTTTCTAACCAGAGATGTTAATACTTTTTCTTTAATTTTCTTATTTCTCATGGCCTCCTTCTGAGAAAGAGAATACTAAAATTTTCTTTTTATTTTAGCGAGTCACAGAACATCTTTGCTTCAAGAGAGCTCTAGAAAAAAAGGTCCATTTATTGTAGCTGACCCATATTGGTCTATATGGAAAAGGGAGTGGAAAATATTCCTGGCTTTTGATCAGTAATGAATTTATACTCTGAAATAAACTTTATTTTTCGTGTTCTTTCTCTAGTAGCACACATCAAAATTAGTAAAAATTTTATCCTTTACAATCTATTCTTTCTAATCATCTCAACCAATGCTTTTGGCATGCACTGTTCAGAAGACTATTCAAAGGCTGCATCTCAATATCCCTCCCTCCTTTCCTACATAATTTTGAGCTTATTCTCCTCTATTCCTTGCTTTATGCACACATTTCGGGGAAAAAAAAATACTATACACCATTATAACATGATGTTTCCCCTATTTTTAAAAATATTATGAATAAGGTATCAAGGAAAAGATTGTAATTGACCTACAGATCATCTACTAAAATGAATGAGACATTGAGGACCTTAGTAATATGTTATTTCAAGCCATCTGCAAGCTAAACCAGATTTCACCTTCTACCCTGAAAATGTGTGTCTTTTGAAGTTTTATTTTACAGCTATAGTATCTAGAGACTTTTTCAATAAGACCTGAAACATCGGATAACAATTGAGGTCTGCAAGGTAGAATTCCACAGCCTGTTTGCTCTTTTAAATATTCAAGAGATAAAATATTATTTTAATTTCATTCCATTCCTGTGTGAGGTCTTTTATTTATTAGAGAAGATAAATAGAAAGAACATAATGAGACTCCTCCAAATCATTTATTGGTTTATTTATTCAGATTGTCTCATCCTATTAATTTTTTTCTGAAGCTGAATAGAGCTGATCTTTTAAACCTTTTCATTGTATGGGGAAAACACTGCTTTGTCAAAGGTCTTTTTGTTCCCCTGTGCCACTGGTATTTCTATGGCCTTTTCTGCCTTATCTGTATTGTTTTCAGCTGAGGCTGCAAAAGCTAAAATTTGCCTGCTAATGAAGGGAACAATCCCCCTTATCCACCACCACCCTTCAGAAATTAGTATCTGCTTTTGCTAATGGCAAGATTGTGCTGTGATGGGAGATCCAGGTGGACTGTCATCTTTAGGCAGTGTAAAGTGAATTTCTCTTTCTTTCCAAGGTGCTGTTGTACAGAAATGTGAAGGTTATTAAAAAATTATTATTATCATTTTTTCCTTGAAATGGTTGGAGGAAGCGTAAATTTCAGCACTTTAATCAGTGTCCTTGTCCCTGTTTCTGCTGCCTTAGATTAAAATCGTATGCTGGAAAGATGGAAGAGGATGACAATAGGCAAATTTTCTTTTGATATTTTGCTGCTTTTCATCTTGATTCCACATATCTTTGCTAAACAGCATCCTACTGGTTTCAGATAGGCTGCTTTTTTGGGTAGCATCTATGTGTCTGAACACAACTCGTAAGAAATATTCCTGAACAAGAGCATCTTGTTTGTGGTTTGTGTGCGGTTTTTAGGTTTTGTGTGGGGTTGTTTTTTGTTTGGTTTGTTTTGTGTTTTATTTTTTATAGTCTTCTTTAAAAACCCCCACAAACCACCAAAGAAAGTAATATTTGCCTGTAAAGAACTTCACTGAAAGGGAGGGTTTTTTAGACTTGGAGCTCGTTGGACCATGGGCTACAGCAGAGCTGGTCACTGACACCAGGGAAAGGGCATTGCTGAGGGCACAGGTGGTTGCAGTCAGACTGGTTAGAGAAGAATGGGAACAACAGAGGAAGCTGGCTTTGTGAATGTTCATTTTTGTCAGCTAATAAATAACCTTTCCTTAGTGTCTGAATAAGCTACTGTAATGGATAATTGTAGCTGTTATTAAGATAAAATAATTAGAAAAAAATGAAAAGAATTGGAGCTTGTAGAGTAGAACTGATCTAATGTCCGAGCAGTACTATTAGTTTAGAGGATGTTACATTATTTTGCCTCTCCTAGTTGCTCATTTAGTTTTGTTGAACTGTGCCATATGATAGCTCTGAAGATTAATGTTGTTCATTTATTTACAGAATACACGTGACATAGATACAAGCAGAGGCTTGGTAATGTACTTATCTCGTGTTCCAGAAGAATCATCTCTGTGATTTAAGAGGAGCAGCCTCTGGTTCCTGCATTTTGCCCGTTAATAGAGTGCCAGTGAGCTTTGTTCTGATGGTAGTGCATACAAAAGTGGACAGTTTTCACTGGAAACTGATTAAACCTCCCAGCTTATTTTGCATAATTGCCAAACAGCTGTCTGGTGGTAATGACTTGAAGTTACTAGCAGCATGGGATATATTCATACAGTTTTCCTGGAGCTGAAAGGTTCCCTGTCTAATTGCAGTTCACTGAGCCATTCAGTACCCCTAAAGAGAGAGAACTACTTAGAACAAAGTCATTAAAAACTTTCAGATTTATTCTGTTGCTCTGTGTGGGAATGGATGAAGGATCAATCAAGAGCTTAAGAGTCAGGATTTAAAGGGAAGGCAGGGAGAGGTGACATTACAATGAGAATGGATAGAGATCAGCCTTCAGGAGAAGGACTTGGAGGTGTTATTTTGATGAGAAGCTCAACATGACCCAGCAATATGCATTTGCAGCACAGAAAGCCAACTGTGTTCTGGCCTGCATCAAAAGAAGCATGGTAGTTTTGTTGACTTAAGGAAAAGGTTAACAGATGCTCTCAGCTGAAGCAAGGGGATATTCATCCATTTAAAAGGATTTAGTTAGTGTCATAGCTGAATTATTGTAATTGTACAAGCAGGTAAGCCATTAGAGCTGTAGGCTTTTGCTATTAGAAATTGAAGTGGTAACTGTGCTTCTGTTCACAGCGTGGTGTATGCACTTATTTTTGTGGCCAGAGAAGACAAGTAGGAAGGGAAACTTTCCTCTGTAGATTGCATTTCACATCTCTTCATAACTGGCTGGTGCCGATCTTCACTATTGCTTTACTCTTGGTTCCAATGAATACAATGTTTTCTCAAGTGTCAGCTACAATTTTAAGTGTTTGATGCTTGCCTTCAGAACAAGGGATTTACCTTAGCTTGTTGAGGGATTTTCCTGTTCATTTTGCTTTCCTTCCCAAATGGTGCAGTATGGAAAAACGCTAACATTTTTGAGTGTGTGGGAGTTGTATGAATTTTGTATGCTGTGTGAAGTCCTTCTGCAGTGGTAATGTAGTCTTAAATGGGAAGTACAGAAACAGCGTAACTTCCTTTTTTATTTTTCCTCCCATCTCTCGATGTTTCTTAATACCAGTCCTGATTCATTGCTGAAAAAACTTGCAGTTAAAAAGATAAAAAAAGAGAGAGCAAGAAAGTCATAAACCTGAGCCCCAGTCAGCTGTGTCTCCTGGTTGTGAAACAAAGTATAGTATTGTCCTGGTTTAGCTTTATTCATTGTCTGTGTAGAGCATTAATTCTGGCTGTTCTGCCTGTTTTCAGTTAAGATGAGCAGTACTCTATTTTTTTTTTATAAGAATTACTGTACATTCTGTGCTACGGCATCTTAAACTCCATATGCTGGCTTATTTGTAAGATGGCCTTTCTTCTATGTGCAGTCTCAGTATCTAGTAATGATACATGTCCTTTCTCATGCAGGTAGCTAATACTAGTACTTTTCCCTATTTTTATGATAGAATGTGCGACGAAGCCTGGAAATTTTGATTCATGTTGGGTATTTCTGTAAAAACATCACTTTTTATTAAGCTTCTCTACCTTGCTGTATGATGTTCTGTTGTGTCTGTAAACCAAGAACATTTGAAGCCCTATTTAAATTGCCTTATATTTTACAGTGAATCAATTGTATATCATGGCTGTCTGCCTTGATCTAGGTTTGCACGAGTCAGAAACTCTGCAGTACTTTGAGGAGGAAGGTGAGTGATATTGAGACTCAACTACCAGCTCTACTTGAAGCAAAAATGCTGGCTGTTTCAGGTAAGTTTTAAGTAATGAAAAAGACTAACACTGATGAGTGATGTGTTAGAGCACTTGCTGAGCTTTTAATGTCTGAGACTTCCTAGGAAAGTTGATGTTCCCGTATGTAGATCCCTTGAAGTTATGGCAAGTCTGGGTAACCAGGATGTCTCCTGTGTTGTGTAAGGTGTTTCAGGCCCCTCTATGTGGTTGGGAAATACTGGTAAAGAGGATGCTGTGTGGTAGGTATTGAACATGCAAAGAACATATTTTTCCATAGGTGAAATTGGTAAGGAATTATCAATAGCTGTTCCTGGACCTGACAAGTTATATGCCTATATAACTTTATATACTAGCTAACAGCATAAATTGACAGGAAAGGCATGATAATTCCAGTTGTGGCTTTAAATGACACTTTTAAATGGAATACAATAATTGGCACCTTCTGCTGTTCAGATCATTAAACAACTAATGCTGGCAGCAAAAGAGCAATTTGGCCTGTGGAGCACTTGTGCCTGTTATTTACAACCAGTAAAACACTGAGATGTGATTAGAGAGCCTGATATGTAACAGCTTTACATACCATTTGTTTGTGATTACTGCACTGTTTTTGAATGAAAGAAGGCAAAGCGCAGTTCTGTCTCCTAAGTTTGAAGAGGTGGGTTTTCTGTTCTATTTCAATTCAGCATATTGTTTGCAGGTGTGTAAGTAGGTGTCTCTGCTAGACACCTGCCTCAGAGAGGAAACTGAGTAGGGGTGAAAATTCCTTGTACCCGAGTACAAGGAACTTTCCAGTGTTACACCAAGTAAAGAAAGGCTAGAGGGTTTTAATACATGTCGAGGTGACATATTGTAGCTATGTGTTGGTGATTTACCTTCTCAATTAGATACAAGAATCTAGCACTGGCACACACGGATTTTTTAAAGATGAATCCCTGTGCAGTGTTACATGGTTTGTTTGCCAGAAGTGGATAACACCAGGCTTGAGCAAAGTCCTAAAGGAGATTAAGGACCAGCTCTTGTATTGGTGCTCAGCATGTTCATTTTCCTTGTTTCTAATAACAACTTTCTGAAATAGAAACTCTATTTCTCTGTGTCCAACTTTGAGAGGTGGGCTGAACAATCATCCTTCTCTGCCTGTGGGCTGTTTGAATGTAGGTAATTTTCTTGCTTTCAGAAACAGGGTCAAAGTTTTCCACAATCATTTTATGACTTTCTTGAGAACAAAATATCCCATAGACTGGACGTGCAACTGCTTCATGCTGGCAGCAGGAAGCAGTTGGCCAGAAAATATGTACCTCAGAAGCTTTGGCAGAGTAAATGACAACTTGAAGATGATCTTCAAAACATTCATAACTCTTTTATACTTTTTAGATGTTAAAAGAGGTTTCTTATTTCAGGGATGAATTCAAAAGACAGTTTAATGCTGATGTTTCCATAAACTGCACAGCACTGGGACTATGATTGCCTTTCTATGCATTTTTAAGAAGTGTCAGTGTGATTTCTTAATACTGATGATAAGCATTGTTCCTTTGTCTTTCTTTTTAATTTTTTTTTATTTCTTTTAAATTCTTACCCTGGAAAACTCTCACGTCAGGGAATTCTAATGACTGTGGTACAATCCTAAGTTGTTATAAGGCAAAATTCTGGAGGGAGCTGGCTAAAAATCACGGACAAAAGGTAGTATGGGGACAGTGGATACTGTAATTCCTTTCTCTTGCCATAAGATATGGATGCGTTTATTTGATGTGATGGCTCTTGTTTATGTTACATGAAGAATAGTGTGCAGAGGATATGGGGGAAATATGGGAATAAAAAAAATTAGCTCTCTGAAGACCTGAAAGGAAAAAAAAAAAAAATCGGGGGGGGACTGGGGGGGTAGGGAGGAAGGGAAATATTTTAGTCTATATTTTAGTCTTAAAGCATGAAATGATAAAATCAGAAATTCAGGGTGCAGAATTAATTGCAGTGTGCAGAGAAGCAAGTCAGGAAGAAAAGATTTTATAAATGCAGAAGAGGAAAGAGGAAGAAAGAGATAAAAATAGCCCCTTTTTTTTTCTTTTTTTTTAACTTAATAGGGCAAAAACAGTGAGCGGTGGATAATATAGAGAAAGCTGAATTATTCAGTTTCTGTATATTCCTGTATTAGGCATAAACGAATGACATTTCTTAAATAAGGCATAGTTAAGAAGTAGGTCTTAACCTTTTAAGAACTGCTTAAGTTTTAAACAAGATACTTTACCTATGTATACCCTGAACTGTCAGGCAGCTGTTAATGAATACCTTGAGTATATTAAATCATTATAAGGTGGGAGAATCATCAATTGGGTAATACACAATTATTTAGGGACAGTTTTGGAGTAGCATGAAATACAGAGGGAATTATAGTGTATATATTAAATATGCAGTAACAATAAGGTTTGGTCATAGAGGTTTTAATTTAGTCTGGACGCATGAGGAAGGGATAAATATCTGTTATTTCCGCTTTTATATCTAGCGGTTAGATCATTCATGCTAACAGTTACATCAAACAACAGTACCGATGGATACTGAGATCAACTCTAAACAGCTGTTTCATCACTTTTCTTTAACATAGCATTTTTCTTGAGGAAGCAGTTAGAATTCAGTGATTTTGGAACAGTGTCAAAGGAGAAAGGTAACTGAATGCAGTTGCACACATCTGTATTAGTGTATCATAAAAGTTAAGTTAGGTATAAGGATGCTGGGGAGGGACTCTTCTTTAGGGACTGTAGTGATAGGACAAGGGGTAACGGGTTAAAACTTAAACAAGGGAAGTTTAGATTGGATATAAGGAAGAAATTCTTTACTGTTAGGGTGGTGAGGCACTGGAATGGGTTGCCCAGGGAGGTTGTGAATGCTCCATCCCTGGTGGTGTTCAAGGCCAGGTTGGACAAAGCCTTGGGTGACACGGTTTAGTTTGAGGTGTCCCTGCCCATGGCAGGGGTCTTGGAACTAGATGATCTTAAGGTCCTTTCCAGCCCTAACTATTCTATGATTCTATGAGCTTAAGAATATAGTTGTTAAGTGGTACATGCATACTCGGAGCTTACATGCAATGACTTAATGATGTGATGACTTGGAAAGCATGATAATATAACTCGTCCTCTAATAGCTACCTTGATAGCTTCAGGGCAGTGTTTATATTCTATGTGAACTGTACTTCCTATACCAAACACACTTTTACAGTACTGGTGTCCTTGCACCAGAAAATTAAGAATATAACTGATTTTTTTTTTTCTTTTTTTGTGAGGAAAATACTACAATTAATGCAATGTAAGTATAACAGTTCTGTTAGTTCTGTCAATACAATACCTTTAATTTTAAGACTATAATAATACTGTAAAGATATAAGAGATGATGCTACATGTGTGAATGTCTCTTCTCCCTGTTATTTTGTCCTTGGAAGAAGCATAAAGCTCAATTTGGAGGAGAAAGAAACTTTGTGAATCTTTTGATTACTGAAAGCCATTGAATAAATACGGTCATTAAATCACAGTGAGATTTTGGGGGGAGAGAGAAGCAGCACGTATTCAAATGTTCAAGAAGTATTTTTGTCAACGGTTACAATTCGGATCCTTTATATCAACAACTCCCTTACTTCTGCAGGCATTTGCCTGTTGTGATAACTGACTTTCAGTTAATACTCCTGAGATGCTAGTCCAGAATTTTTTTCAAACATAATTAGTAGAATCTTATAATATTGTTCATGGTTTTTAAGTCTGTAGCTTCAGCTAATTATAGCTAACAAGTGCTCCTGATTGCCTGAGATGTTACTGTTGACATACACATTTGTAAATACTTATCGATGAAATGTTATGATTTAGCATCTAGTAGGGTTGTTTTTTATTAAAACAAAACACCTTAATGTCAGCACTTAAAAACCTGCATGTGATATTGTAACAGTTGCTTCTTGCAGTAGTTGTTAATATGCTCATAAGAATTCTGTCATTAGTTACGGGAAGAGCACAACACATAATGCTCTGTTCTTTGTTAGCATTGTGTGTCTATTGAGTGTGAAATGTTTTGGGGGAATAAATTGCAGATGAAATAATCCTAAACCAGTAAGAAAATTTAGATAGGATGGTATGCTAAAAGAGTGGGTATGTAACTGTAGAAATATTACTAAAATTTATTTACCTACTTTGGGCTGTTTTGCAGGAGAGCAAATTGTATATGAGAAATTGTGTGTTTCTCATTTTTCCTTAGAAAATGATTTGGGAATAGGAGAAAGTTTGTAAGCTAAAATGAATTTTTAGTTGTCATTTCATGTTTCCTATATTTGAATAATAAAAGAGGTTGTCTGATACGTTTTTACAGTGTCTTCGTAGATCTATGTGAATTTTTTCCTCTTGAGAATGCATAATAGCATTGGACTACATAGGCAGAAAGTGGCTAGCAGGGAGCTAAGCAGGCATGAATGAAATGCTGAGTTTGTTATGTAGTTATCTGAGATGCATGTCATTAACTTTCCTTATGTCTTTGCAAACACAAATTATATCCAAATAGAGAAGTTACAATGAGGTGACTTGTAAGTAGTTAAAAAGAAATTTAAAACATTCTTGATCTTAAAACCCTCTATACTGGTGAGAGGTTGTGTGTCATCATCCTGTGATTAGCGCTATCTCTATTTCATTAAATACCTGCAAGAGGGATCTTCTTGGAAATGCTGTTGTGGGATGATTGCAGTGGTACAACAAAAAGAGTTTTTTCCTTGTGTTAGTGTAGAAGTATAAATAGTATGACATGAATACTAGGTACCGTATTTCCACAAAACTTAACGCTAGAACTGTTGCCTCTTTGATGCTTGTTTAGGGCAAGTTCTGCATGTCGCAGAAAAGAACTGTAACAGGAAAGTCTCCAGCCCTATGAAGGCTTAATTTTTGATGAATTGGAGTCTGAGTTCTGTGTCTTGTCAGATGACATAGCTGGGTCCGCACATGCAGATTCTTGCTGGCGGCAGTGGTGTGCGTTAATGGTTCAGAGGAATATTAAGATTAATT